AGCATGATGCTGCCACCACCATGCTTCACCATAGGAATGGTGCCAGGTTTCCTCCAGACGTGACGCTTGGCATTCAGACCAAAGAGTTCAATCTTGGTTTCATCAGACCAGCGAATCTTGTTTCCCCATGGTCTGAGAGTCCTTTTGGTGCCTTTTGGCAAACTCCAAGCGGGCTGTCATGTGCCTTTTACTGAGAAGTGGCTTCCGTCTGGCCACTCTACCATAAAGGCCTGATTGGTAGAGTGCTGCAGAGATGGTTGTCCTTCTGGAAGGTTCTCCCATCTCCATAGAGGAACTCTGGAGCTCTGTCAGAGTGACCGTCGGGTTCTTGGTCACCTACCTGACCAAGGCCCTTCTCCCCCGATTGCTCAGTTTGGCCGGGCGGCCAGCTCTAGGAAGAGTCTTGGTGGTTCCAAACTTCTTCCATTTAAGAATGATGGAGGCCACTGTGTTCTTGGGGACCTTCAATGCTGCATAAATGTTTTGGTACCCTTCCCAGATCTGTGCCTCGACACAATCCTGTCACGGAGCTCTATGGACAATTCCTTCGACAGGGCTTGGTTTTTGCTCTGACATGCACTGTCAACCGTGGGACCTTATATAGACAGGTGTGGGCATTTCAAAATCACGCCAATCTATTGACTTTACCACAGGTGGACTCCAATCAAGTTGTAGAAACATCTCAAGGATGATCAATGGAAACAGGATGCACCTGAGCTCAATTTCGAGTCTCATAGCAAAGGCTCTGAAAATGTATGTAAATAAGGTATTTCTGTTTTTTATTTGTAAGAAATTTGCACACACACACACAAAAAAAAAAACTTTTCGTTTTGTCATTATGGGGTATTTTGTGTAGATTGATGAGAATTTTATTTTATTTAATCCATTTTAGAATAAGGCTGTAACGTAAGAAATGTGGAAAAGTGAAAGGGTCTGAATACTTTCTGAATGACCTATATGTGACTTGCAGGTAGGGTTGCACAATTCCAGTAAATTTCCCAAGTTTTCCAGAAATCCTGGTTGGAAGATTGCTGGAAATCCTCCAACCAGGATATTTCTTTTTTTATCTGGTCATTTGGGGAAAGTTACTAGAATTTTGCTACCCTACTTGCAAGCCTGATGTGGCCTGTAAACCTTGAGTTTCAGGCCACTGTATGAGGGTAAACCTAGGTCTCATATAAGGCCTTATGAGATATGTAATGTATTGTCATAAAGTTTAATTATAATATTCGCCAGGGAACTCACTTGGTGAAGGACACAGGCCTGAAAATGAATGAATTCAACAACCATGTCTCTGTCACTAACAAATACAGTCATGGTTGGTAACTCTACAATTCACTCGAAAAGGCAAGGCACACTGGGAAATTATCTTGGAGGCATGGCTTAGTGGGAGTATTACTCAAAATGTTCAACTGATAGAACTCAAATCTGGACCCCCTACAGGGTCACAGTGACTATCGGTTAATGACTACAAAATAACTAAGTAGCTGTACTACAATATATTAAGTGCAACAGGTTTCCTCAAAGGTTTTGAGTAATGACAGCACATTGGGGCGTAGAGTATGGTTGACTATACACTGACATTTAATAATTGTGCTTTGATTGTCAATGGAAAGGGATACAGGGCTGTTGAACAACTCTTGCAATATGATTTTCAGCCACGTGTTGTACAATATCTGCCAACTAAACCTGTAACTCGCAGAATAAATGTGTTAAGCAAATTCCTGAGTCTGAATCTTGCTTTATTCTTTCCAAGGAGAGCCAATGGCACCACATGCACCTAAACACATTAGGCTAGTTGGACCTTTTAATGGTTTATGACTTGTTCTTTGCATCATACTTTGGTCTCCAATATTCTTGATAGAAATGTGATACAGAACCTGAAGTTAGAAAACAAATAGTGAGTGACACCAAAGAATTGGACATAAATGTTTAGTGAATAAACACATGCAAATGTCAATGTTTATGTCAACTGTTTATTCAGTTCATGATATAAAACAGTCTCAGTTACAGTAAGTGCCAACACAGTCACTAATTATTTCATTTGTAGATTGCATTCAGGCCCTGGATCGCAAAACAAAAACATTACACTTGACTTCGGTTCAGATTGCACTCAAAGCATATAGGACAATCATTATACAGAAATCACCAACATGCACTCACTATCTGATCAGATACGGTACATGTTTTAATTTGGTATTCAATATGTCCACAAGATGGTGCTATTACCACATTAAAAAGATACACATCTCAGTTCTGGGCGGTTCTACACCAATCCTCCTCAATTGTCATTACCTTAAAAGGAGCTGAGATTCCCTGTTATCTACAAGTCCCTGAAAAAAACATCCGTATGGCACAAATCCTGTCCATCCTACAACAGTGAGAACATTTTACAAATCTAGAATGTCTTTGACACGCACAGAAGAGTCTCGAAAAAGTCTTGAGGCAGATGCTACCAACTTGGACAAGGTACATCAACAACAAAAAGACCATCATAGACTATCAAAAATCTAAATACGACAGAATCATAATTAAACATTGAATTCGATCAAACTGGAAACTGTGATTACTCTTTGTGTGTGTGTAATAAACCATAATTAGGCTATAATACATGATATGAACATGGCGGTAACATGACGATTGGCAGTACAGTATGTCTACGTCCAAAATGGCACCCTATTCATGCACTACTTTTGACCAAAGCATTATTGGCCCTGGTCAAAAGTAGTGCACTATAGGGTGCAATCTGGGACGCATTCTATCTCTAAAAGTCCCTATATAGTCTCCTGTAATCCCTTTGATATAGCATGGATCCTATTAAAGTATGATGTCTGGTAATCAAAAAGTGTTTAATCTATTGCCACTATTACCATCCTCATTCAATACATTTAAAAAAAAGAAGAAGACTAAACTGGCCATGGAGCAGTTAACCCTATCACCCAGCTGTCTGAAAAGTTAACCCTATCACCCAGCTGTCTGAGAAGTTAACCCTATCACCCAGCTGTCTGAGAAGTTAACCCTATCACCCAGCTGTCTGAGAAGTTAACCCTATCACCCAGCTGTCTGAAAAGTTAACCCTATCACCCAGCTGTCTGAGAAGTTAACCCTATCACCCAGCTGTCTGAGAAGTTAACCCTATCACCCAGCTGTCTGAGAAGTTAACCCTATCACCCAGCTGTCTGAGAAGTTAACCCTATCACCCAGCTGTCTGAGAGGTTAACCCTATCACCCAGCTGTCTGAGAAGTTAACCCTATCACCCAGCTGTCTGAGAAGTTAACCCTATCACCCAGCTGTCTGAGAAGTTAACCCTATCACCCAGCTGTCTGAGAAGTTAACCCTACCACCCAGCTGTCTGAGTCTAAAGGTCCCTTTGAGTGGAATAACATCATGTTCTCACTTTCTCTGTTGATTCTGTGGATGACTGATACTTCCCTCCACACTAATGTTTACCCTGGGAATGTTTACTCTTGTTACACACACAGGAAGTGATAACCCTCTTAGAGAGTGGTGTGTGTGTGTGAGTGTGTGTGAGAGACCGAGAGAGTGAATGCATTTAATCAGGAATGGAATGTACAGGAAATGAGATAAATGCCTTTTAAAGAGTGATGCCAAATAAAATAAGACAAAATAAAATTATATAAACTAAATAAAATGCAGAAACAGTAATTCAGATGTGACTTGCACTCTAACAGGTGACCAACGAGTCAACCGTTCAACCAATGGACACGGTTGGTTAGGAAAACACGACCTGGGTTGTATTAATTAGTGCACATTGTAGCAAAACATATCGCAATGGAAAACGTTTTACAACAAAAACAAGAGTTTCTATTGGACAAATTCAGGTTGGTCCCTCCCCATTTTGTCCCGTTCCTAGTGAACACAGCTCTTACAAGACAAGCACAATGTTATGTTTGGCACAGATCTGAAATGTACATGCATTCAATTCTTACTGGTCCACTTGTCTTAGCGCTGAGAGCATGTGCCGATGCCAGTTTGTAAGCAGATATCACTAAATCAAATACTGACGGAACATCTGATCAAATATATTAGGGGTAACATTTAAAATAGCATATTTTGTTAATCCACAAACCAACTGATTGGCGTTTGCAGTGACTTGTGCTCTTGTTGACTAACAGAGAGAGAGTGTCAGAGTTTCGCAGAGGGAACAGAATTGCAGCACACAGGAGAGTACACTTTCAGTAAGCATGCACGTAGAAACACAATCATAGCAGTATGTCCCATAATGCTCCACTTCCACCTCCAAGTCATTACTCCAAGCAGCTATATACACCAGCTCCTTAGAAAGACACAGGAACACACAGGTAAAAGTAGAGAGCTTACAGACAGCAACAAGTCAGAAGTCAACATATGATCACCATCCGCTTCCGGACTGGAAAGACGTTAAACACAAAGATCCATTATCCTGATATAATAGCGTTTTGGACCGGGCCTGTCATTTTGTTTAGCCTTGATGTGCAGCACAATACAAGGGACCAGGAGAACTGGAGCCTGGGAGTACACAGAACCACGCAGCCACCCTTTTGGATCCAAAGACAGGCACATCCCATAGACCGCCATTGATACAGAGACAGAGATTGCAGTTATATATCCAGCAAAGGCCTGATCCACCATGACGAGCATGGTCCACAGACGGACGGAAACACCAGCAAACGACGACTACAGCAAAACAGGAACATTTCCCTCTTTAAAAAATAAATACATCTTAGAATCAACATCATCATCCACAGTTAAGAGCCAGCAGGAGTTAGAATGTCACAAGGCATCTCCTTTGGGTTGTCTTTGTTGTCGTCGTCAGTTAAAAGAAGGAAACAAATGAGAGCGTTTGGGTTTCAGCTAGGTACATTGTTCCAAGGCTTGTGGACAATAGAAAGTCATGGGAGTTTTTTTCTTCTTCAAATACAGCAATGAAGAGTAAACTTACAAAAACAAACAAAATAAAAAAAATTAACTCACTGATGGACGGCTTAGGCAGCCTGGGTCACTGTCTGTAGTAGACACCTAGAAGAGATCGGGGGAGAGAGGCTGATCTTTAAAACCTAATAACATAATCACTGGCTATAATGGTAGGAGCTCTCTAAGAAATATGGTAGGAGCTCTCTAAGAAATGAATTTGGTGTATGCCAACCACGTGGTATGCTGGATAGAAAGTTAGCTGTATGAGAAGTGTTCAATCTGCATTCTTTGGGTTTTAGATTGAGGCCTGAGTTAAGGCCCAAAAAGAGCCTGGGCATCCAGTAGCTGAATGTACCTTTGTAAGCAGCCTCAGGTCTGGCCGGAGTGCGGGAAGAATAGTGGCTCTCTGAGCAGCTGTAGATGGACTCCACATTCTCATAGTCATGTGGAGGAGGTTGAGAAGGCCTGTGAGAGGGGAGAGAGCGATAGACGATAGGGGGAGAGACTTAATATTTTCAGAGGCATCATAATGGGTATTGTTGTAAACGCATCAGGTGTGTAATAGTGTGAAATAAGTTGTAGAACGCATCATTGTTGTAATAGTGGTGTAATAATGTTGTAAGAAACGCATCATTGTTGTAATAGGGGTGCAATAATGTTGTTAGAGTGTATCATTGTTGTAATAGTGGTGCAATAATGTTGTTAGAGTGTATCATTGTTGTAATAGTGGTGCAATAATGTTGTAAGAGAGTATCATTGTAATAATGTTATTGTAAGAGCGTATTATTGTTGCAACAAGGGGTGTATTCATGTTGCAACAAGGGCATATTCATTTTGTAATAAGTGTATTCATGTTGGAAAAAGGGTATTTTAATGTTGCATCAAGGGGTGTATTCATGTTGCAATACGAGGTGTATTCATGTTGCAATACGAGGTGTATTCATGTAATAAGGGTTTATTACTGTAATAAGGATATATTCATGTTGTAATAAGTGTATTAATGTAGTAACAAGGGTGTATTCCAGTAATAAAGGGTTATTTAATGTTGTAATAACGGTGTAATAATGTAATAAGCAGGGTTGGGGTAAATTCCACTTCAATTCAGAAAGTAGGCCTAAACCAAATTCCAATTCCAAATTTTTGTGCACTTCCTGAATTGATTGGATTGAAATGGAATTGACACCAACCCTTGTAATAAGTAGTGTTATGTTGTAATAAGGGTTTATTAATGTTGTAATAGTAATGTAGCTAATAAAGCGAGGCCCGTGCCTGGCAGGCTAATTGCCAGAGCGAGGCCCGTGCCTGGCAGGCTAATTGACAGAGCGAGGCCCGTGCCTGGCAGGCTAATTGACAGAGCGAGGCCCGTGCCTGGCAGGCTAATTGACAGAGCGAGGCCCGTGCCTGGCAGGCTAATTGACAGAGCGAGGCCCGTGCCTGGCAGGCTAATTGACAGAGCGAGGCCCGTGCCTGGCAGGCTAATTGACGGAGCGAGGCCCGTACCTGGCAGGCTAATTGACAGAGCGAGGCCCGTGCCTGGCAGGCTAATTGACAGAGCGAGGCCCGTGCCTGGCAGGCTAATTGACAGAGCGAGGCCCGTGCCTGGCAGGCTAATTGACAGAGCGAGGCCCGTTCCTGGCAGGCTAATTAATATAGTGAGGCCACTACCTGGCAGGCTTTTGGTGGTTCCTGGGCTTCTGGTATTCCTCCTCTCGTAGTCTGGGACGCACTACCTCCTCTGAGCTTGGCTGGAACACACACAGACACTATCTTTGGTCTGGTCTTATCAACAAGTTGATAACAAACTGTGCCAATAAACCTGCACTAACAGTAGGTTGCTTTGGATGAGAGCGTCTGCTGAATGACTAAAATGGAAACTGTGCTGCTCTTACTACAGCACTCCTATGTAAAACACACAGATCATATCAACACAAATGAATCCATAGGAGGGACCAACATACCATCTTGATGACACTTGATCAAAATTCTGCACATGCAGTGGTGAAATAAGTGTTATTAATCAGTCATCTCATTCCAGAAAAACGAGTCACCTTGTAGTCTCCTCCCTCTGGCCTCCTTCTCTCTTCCGGCCTCATCCCCCTCTCTTCCGGCCTCATCCCCCTTTCTTCCGGCCTCATCCCCCTTTCTTCCGGCCTCATCCCCTGCTTCTGCTTCTCCTTCTCTCTGGACTTCTTGTACTCCATCTTCTCCTGCTCCATCAGCAGCCGGGCTATCTCCTGACAACACCAATACCACGTTTACTATACAGTTCTAGTACAAACACAGACACTCCTTGTCCCAATGAATTTGAGAGTGGTTACATTTCTCCAGCTGTTTCCCAAAACAAGTGGCGGGGTGACAGTTTGTTGTTTTTCCAATCCCAGATTGCCCCTTTCAGGCACATATTGTTGCGTCATATGGCTTCTGCCATACACCGATCGGTGATATAACCACGATGTGGTGAGATTTGAAAACCCCAGGTTAACACTGACCAAAAGGCATAATTATTATTTAACAAAGGTAAACCATTTATACACTCAATACCTGGCTTTGTTGATTTGTTAAAAGTTGAGACTTGAGTGACAGTGAGAGAAAATGAAAGAGCGAGCGTGAGAAAGCGAGTCGGTCAGTGACGACTGCTCCAGACAGAGAAGCGGCCGGCCGTCCACTCACCTCATCCTGAGCCACTTGGGCCGAACGCTTGTCCATCTTGCTTGCCTGGAACCGGAAAACAATTAAGAACCAATTGAGTCATATTTCCCCTCAGCACAGAACGTTCTGTTCCCTGGGCTCTGTCATGACATAACATAGGAAGTGACTGTTGAGACGAGCCTTTCACAGACATCTGAAGCTGCACAATATAAAGCTGAGGTCTACTGAATATAGCTTCCAACGTCGACACTGGTCAGGATATCTAAAGTCTGTTGTTGAATATTTCTTTCTTGATAATTTTTTGGGGTGTGTTGTTGAATTCTTTAAGTTAAATTGATATCAAAGAACCCCTAAGATATAACATGAAACCATTCAAATACAGAACATATCTACAATGCTGCTGTAACTAAATGTGTCTTGACATAGGGGACTCCGGGGGTATGTTAACTGAACGATGGGACAGCGTTTTAGCTACCATGTTGTCCCAAGGGTTTTATGATGTTGTAATAAGAGTGTTATATTGTCCTAATAACTGTGTTATAAGATGTCATTCTGTCATTGACCAGTTCTCTCACCTTCACCTCCTCCTCCTGTAGTTTCCGGGCCACCTCCATGTCCAGCAGCTCCTGGTCCCGCAGGTCCAGCTTAGTGATGCCCTGGGTGGCCTCGCCCAGCCCGTACTCCCCTGCCACTACCACTGCTCCACGACCCCCTGGTCCTCCTTGCACAATACGACCTGCAGGGGCCGCCACATACAACAGAGTCAATCCAGCTGTATGTAGACTAGAGCAGTGTTTCCCTGGGGACCCAAAGGAGTGCCCTTTTTTTCTTTTTGCCCTTGCACTACACATCTGACTCAACTAATCAACTCATCATCAAGCCTTTAACTTGAAATCAGGTGTGTGCGAGCAAGGGATAAAAACTAAAAAGTGAAGCCCTTTGGGTCCCCAAGACCAGGAAACACCGGACTACAGTGGATGAGATAACTACTGTATCCCCAACTCTGATTCCTCCAGGGCTGATTTATGGTCAGAGTTAAGGTAAGTGTGCACAAATCGATGGCAAATCCATGCCAGTACTGGATCAGTTGTGGTGAGTAGGCTAGACAGGGATAAAACTGCACAGCGACAGAAGCCCTTGAGGAATAGAATTGGAGTGCAACGGTAAGAAGGTTGCAGAAAGAAATGTACAGGAGCTGATCAATACTAAAATCATGTCTGTTCTACGCAGTACATTTCTATCTGGGCATGTTCTGTCATGTGTTCCCTGATGTACGAACTCTATTATAATCACCACAGCTCCCCAGACTGAGAAATCAACCCCACACACAATTACACACCAGCAGCTGATTCAACTGTTTCACAACGGAGGCCTTTGGCACCAGGGCCTTTTATTATTAATCAGAGATTTTTATTGTGAATTACAGTGGAATTACACCATAATGATCATGGGATCTGGGAAGGAGTAAAAGCTGCTACATCAAGATGATGAAGATTATTGTTGATGAATGATTAGAGTTAGGGAGCGAAAACCCACCACCAGCAGCTCCCAGCAATGGGACAATCAAGGCCCCACACACACGGTCGGCCACAGGCCCGACGCCAGGCCGTACCTGGGTTCCTGGGAGCGGGGCGAGTATGGGAGTGCTCCTTGCCTGTGCTGGGGCCCTCCCCAGGGTCCCTGTGCCCCCTCCTCTCCCCTTTCTCTCTCCCCATCCTGGGGCTCCTCCTCACATCCTCCTCACACAGCTCAATGGGGCCAGAGGGGAGCGTCAGGCGGGCCCTGGGCCCCCCCTCATCATCCCCACTGCCAGGGGCCTCCTCCCCACCACCGTTCCAGGCCTGGCTGCGGCTACTGGGGATGGATTCGTCCTGGTCTTCATCCAGACCTCGCTCCCTGATCTTGGTTCTCTCTCTGTCTTTTTCTTTGTGTTTGGGTTTGTCTCGGCTATGCTCTCGGTCTAGCGATCGCTCCCCGTGTCTTTCCTGTCTCGGTGCGTCTCTCTCACTTTTCCTGGGTTCTCTCTGTATGTCTCTCTCCCACTCCCGGTCTCTCTCTCTATCCCAAGCCTCGTCTCTCTTCACAGGGTTGTGGGATGGCGGTGGTGGCCGGGCAGGCCTCTCCTTCCTCCTCACCACCCGTTCCCCCTCCTCCCCTCTATCCTCTCTGTGTCTCCTGGGCTCATGGCTGTCCGCAAAGAAAGTAGACTGGGACCCCTGAGGGTCTCTGCTCCTCCGGCCCTCCTTCCCTCTGCTTCTACCCTCATCGGGGTGGTGGTAGTCGGGGTACCTGTCCCCATGTTTCCCCCTGCTATTGGAGTGGTGGTGCTCAGGGTGTGTGTCTCCATGCTTGCCCCTGCTACCCTCTCCCCTACTCTCTAAATGGTGCTCGGGGTATCTGGAAAGAGAGCTGGTGCTAGGCTCCGCAGAGTCTCTCTCTGAAGAGTGGGAGTTAGAACCAGGCTGCCTGGGTTTGTCATCCAGGTCCAGAGGGGCTCGGATGGCTGGGTTGAGGGGAGGGAGGGTGGGTGGATATGAAGAGATGGAAGGAAGACATGGATGGATGGAACAAGACAATAACAGAGATGTCAGTAAAGCTGGGTTGGTTAGTGAGTACACAGGGTTATAAGTGACAGCACCTGCATGTGAGGACAGTGAGGGTTTATCATGGACAATGTTAAATGCTGAACCATGGATATACAGTTTCAGCAAACTGAGTAGTGATGGGGGGAAATAATCGATACAGTTACATAGCGCAATAAAAGTCATTTATTATTAGACTTTTTTTTAATAGGTTAACGTTAGCTAGCGCTAGTCGGCTGTACCTGCGCCAAAACTCTGGTATTTTTCATCCTATTACTTTTTCTCCATCTTCTTTTTAAATAGTGAGCCAACATGTTTTCAGAACTTTCCATGACTGATCTAAATTAATTTTCTCATGCTCTCTGGTCTCTCTGCAGCAGACATATGGTCGTGAGCAATATGTTTGCAAAATCAAATCGCAATACATATACATTCTAGTCATTTAGCTGACATTCTTATCCAGAGCAATTGGGATTAAGTGACTTGCTCATGGACACGAAATATTTTTGCACCTAGTTGGCTACTGGCCCAAATTACATGTGCTAGCTATTGACAGAAATAGAATCCTGAGACTAAAACATTAGGGCACTTAGTAAAACAAGCTTGAAGGCTGGAGATTCCCATGTCCTAAAACTCATAAAGTATAAAAATCTCCTTTTGAAGTGCAGAACATTGGATCATGCAGAGTTGTTCGTCATGTGGGGACCAGAGGTTGATGTTAATCGGCTCTGGTATTACTGATCCACCCGAGGGGGATACCTATCCTATATGAATTCGTACCTGAATCTCATGATAAGTAATGCCAAATGTATATTGTAGTGTGGTCTCCTAAAGGAAATAGGATGTATGAGGTGCTTATCAGAGTTCCAACCTTTTTAGAACATGGACACAGCTCTCATTTTAAACAACAGCGTCAAGCCATTGTCTCCACTGTCAACATTTAAAGGAAAGGGCATACAGAGTCGTTGTGTGGAATTTTGGGGGTGAGATTTGAGCGCTGTCCCGCGGATGGTGGTCTTGTGGTTGGTTTGGGATGTGGTGTTGGATCTATGCCTGTGGCTATGTTGTGTGGTATTAGTAAACCAGTCTGAAGTGTGTGTTGTGGGATCGAAGGATCAAAATTTCCTGTGTTGGGTCACTGAAACGTCATAAACGTGGCTGTGAGACGATCATCCGTTATGGGAAGTAGCACAGTTGGCAGTTGCATTGCGATTGTTTTACCTAAAGGGTGGGTCGATTCACGGTCGAAGCCTGTTAATTAAATATCCTACAATGATCGCCCTCAATAAATTGCTTCGTTTGTATAAACCTTTCTGATAAAAACATACTTTCTATGCCTGTGATATGTGGTTGTCCCCCCTAGCTATCTTAAGATGAATGCACTAACTGTAAGTCGCTCTGGATAAGAGCGTCTCCTAAATGACTCAAATGTAAATTAACTTTTACAACCACAGTTAACCTTCCTAATATGCACTGACGAATCACAGGCCTGCATTTGAGTGAAAACAAACAATGTGTGAAGCGTGTGTGTGTGTGTGTGTGAAAGTGTGTGTGTGTGTGTGTGTGTGTGTGTGTGTGTGTGAAAGTGTGTGTGTGAAAGTGTGTGTCTGTGTGTGTGAAAGTGTGTGTGTGTGTGTGTGTCTGTCGTCAGCCGAATGGAATGTCAGTCATCCAGCAGTAGTTGGGAGGTTCATCTGATCAACAGAAACAACTCTGTTTTTTACTCTTTAAATAAAGGCGAGGTAGAAATCACGTAGTCCTAATGTCTTGTTAATTACATAATCATTTAAAATGCTCTGCACCCTCAACATAGTATGTTGGGCTGGTCTCTGTATTATGGTAGCTAGCCAACTACTTTGCCATCATAGTCAACTGTCAAAGTCTTATAAGCTGACTGAGTAGTTAAGTGTGGAAATGATACTCTGGGCTGCTTTTCTCTCTCAATAAAAAAACGTAGACAAATGTCTTTCCTTCCTCTCTTCACACCTCACCCCCCCGCCCCTCTTTCCAGTGGTTTATCTGCAGAGGCTGAACGCTAAACCAACCTCCGTTTCTCTCTGATTGAGAGGACTAAGACAAACATGGCAGCCAGGCAGCGCCCGTCACTTCCTGAGAAGGGTGGCCAATAACACGGCCTGAAGAAATGACTCGCCCGAGATAAGACGTGGCAGAGCGTGTGTGGAGGGGCCTGCACACACTAGAGGTGGTTGATGGAGAAAAAAAATCCATATTGCGACAAAATGACTGAATTATCACGATAACGATCAATTGAACAATACATTTCTAACATTAATGTGCACCACAGTTATTTTTTTTTATTACCCTTAAAACTACTACATTAAATGTTGTAGTTCTGAATTGTCCCATCAACAAATCACCCATATTAGAAAACATATTTAATTTCAAACGTTTTATTGTAATGAACGATATCAGCAAAGCGTCCATGAAAAGTGGTTGGTGTCGAGAATTGTGCGGTTTATCGTCCCAGCTCTAACACACACACACACACACACACACACACCCACACACCATGGGAGAATGTTTGTGTAATACAAAGAGAACACTGGCTTCTAAAGCCAACCCAGCTAGACAGTATGAAATGAGAGAGCAGGGTGAGGTGGTACTGTATAAGGGGCTTTAGCTCTGGACCCATACTCATAAAGCATCTCAGAGTAGGAGCGCTGATCTAGGATCAGGTCCCCAGTGTCCATGTAATCTTATTAATTGTGCTCTAAAAAGGCAAAACTGATCCAAGATCAGGCCCTCCTACTCTGAGAAGCTTTGAGGCTACGGCCCTGGGTTGGGTACGCAGCTAAAGGAAGAGGCCTTTCACTAGGAAAGAAGAGACTTGTGTGGAAAGACGACATGACGGCAGAACATTCCTGACAGCAGTGACCGTCCCTTCAGCCCTGCTCATACCAAACGCACAGAGACGGAGGAGGAAACCTGTGTGTGTGCACGCGTGCCATCCACAACTAACCTACATACTGTAACCACAGCCTGCATGCTAGCAGATGACTGGAAGTCTATGGGTAACGCTAGTTAGCATTGGCTCATTAAACTACCTCCAATTTCCTTCATACTGTACACGGACACATAAAAATGGTATCCACGAGTTCATCTGACTCATTATCAAAATCAAGAAGTATCCCTTTAATGTTCAAAAAGGTTATCTTCCTTAGACAGTCCTGATCATATAGGCCTAGGCGATATCCAAAACAACTAATGACACACTGAATTCATACATTTTCAGTCATTTTCTGAAAGTCATTCTACTCAATACCACAACTCATTTTACCAATCTGGTAAAGTATTCAAATAATTTCGCTGTGTATTTCGGGTGGAATCAAGGTACTAGAATGTACCAGAGGACACCAGAGCTTGTTCTGCAATTAGTAATTTTTTGCCCACCTACGCTTTCCAATGAGACATTAAAATAACATGCAGGGGATGGGGAGACTGGAACCCACAATGGAAGAAACATGAACTGCCAAAAGGCTCCTTGAAGTTCTGACATTAGGCGAGCTTATATCAGTTTAAAATGGAGCCCTGATTGCTGCAGTTGAGTCGAAGCTGCTCTCACAGCCCTGCAAAAGCACAGTCTCAGCTCACTAAGGAGCAGAACCGCGGTATGTGTGTGTGTGTGTGAGAGAGAAGAAGGTAGCAAGATGACAAATGACTCCTCAGTACCTACACACACACACACACACACACACACAACTCTACCTCAAGGTCAACTATGTGCTTAAAACAGCTCTCCTAAACCCTCGTCCTAAATCAACTCTATTCTAGCACACTACTCCACACAACACTCCATCCCTGACCAAGAACACACACACACACTACTGTATCACATATGATGTATGATCTTTCCAATCCAATCCAATTTGATAACCCACCCACTCCACCCTTATATAGATACCCAGAGTGGCACATACCCCTCCCTCCATCAACAGAATAATATAATCCCATACCCCTCCCTCCATATAATCCCATACCCCTGGCCTCCCGAGTGGCGCAGTGGTCTAAGGCACTGCATCGCAGTGCTAGCTGTGCCACTAGAGATCCTGGTTCGTATCCAGGCTCTGTCGTAGCCACACAATTGGCCCGGCGTCGTCCAGGGTATGGGAGGGAATGGCAGGCGGGGATGTAGCTCAGTTGGTAGAGCATGGCGTTTGCAACGCCAGGGTTGTGGGTTCGATTCCCACAGGGGGCCAGTATAAAATAAAATAATGTATGCACTCACTAACTCGCTCTGTAAATCGCTCTGGATAAGAGCGTCTGCTAAATGACGTAAATGTAATGTAAATCAACAGAATAATATAATCCTAATCTCTCACGCCAACAGGAATATAATCCTAATCTCTCACGCCAACAGGAATATAATCCTAATCTCTCACGCCAACAGGAATATAATCCTATATCCACAGACAGGGGGCGCTCTAGTACCTTTATCCTCGTAGTACTCCTCCTCAAAGTTAGCCTCCAGCTGCTTCTGTCGCTTCCTCTCCCCCTTCATCTCCTTCTCCTGCAGTTTACGAGCGATGGCCTGGAAACGTGCATGGAGACACACACACACACAAATAAACAAACCCCTCCAAACTGCTGACACCACCACTTGTTATCTTTACCCTATATTTGGCTTTTTTTCCCTGTGAATAAGGAACTTAAAGGAGTAGGTGGAATCAGCAGTATGGCCCTGCCCAGTGCCAATCAGTCCTGGATTCAAATACAATTTGTAATCTTACAAATACTTTCAGCATTTGCTTTAGCCTGCCTGGGCTAGTGCCAATTATGGAGGGTTTGAAGTTTTGGGATTATTCTATTGGTTCCATGGAACCAAGTAGACTCAAGCACAGATTAAAAAAGGTGCAATATCCCAGAAATCACTTCACCACTTCCTGGTTGCTAAAATTCGAATAGTTGGCCTAATTTCTGTTTATGTGACAAAACAAGCAATTTATCGTCTAGAGAATGATTGTACCATCTAAACCAATGTGAAATATATTTTCAATAACCAAAAACATTGTATTTTCAGCTGGTTTACACAACCGAAAGTAAGACGCAAAAAATAAAAACTTATCAGGAAGCATACAAACAGCGCACTTAGAACAGATCTACCGCTTCTTAGACTTGCTTTCAATGAGAATGACAGATCTATAACACATATTTCTATGTGAATTTGGTCGGGTCGCCCAAAAAGTTACATATTTCAGCTTTAAGTATTTGAAATGATTTCAAATACACTGAAGAAAAATCAAAACACAACATGCAACAATTTCAAAGATTCTACTGAGTTACAGTTCATATAAGGAAATCAGTCAATTGAAATAAATTCATTAGGCCCTAATTTAGGGATTTCACATGACTGGGCAAGGACGCAGCCATGGGTGGGCCTGGGAGTGCATAGGGCTTTATTACAGACATAAATACTCATCGGCAACCTGCGCGCACCCCCTCAATTCTCTGGCAACAGATCTGGTGGACATTCCTGCAGTCAGCATGCCAATTGCACGCTCCCTCAAAACTTGAGACATCTGTGGCATTGTGCTGTGTGACAAAACTGCACATTTTAGAGTGGCCTTTACTTTTCCCCAGCACAAGGTGCACCTGTGTAATGATCATGCTGTTTAAAATCAGCTTCTAGATATGCCACACTGACAAGATCATCCATCCACCTGACAGGTGTGGCATGTCAAAGGAGAAATGCTCACTAACAGGAATGTGAAGACATTTGTGCACAACATTTGAGAGAAATTGGCTTTTTGTGCTCATGGACATTTTCTGGGATCTTTTATTTCAGCTCATGAAACTAACACTTTACATGTTGCGTTTGTATTTCTGTTCTATATAGTATTTGAACCCAGTGCCAATAGCCATAAAGTACATACGGCAATAATGAGGTCACCAGACATGAGGTCACCATTGGGCTAGACATTCTTTCTAACACTAAAGTAGAATAAACAAGTACAGGCTGTAACACCAATAGTGGAGTTCAATAAGCCAATCGGGTGACCCATCCGTGGTGACCCATCGATACTACAGTTTTGGTGATTGGAGGGAAGAGGAGGTATGCCCATGTTGATTGGTTGAGGAGGGAGAAGGGGGAGGGGTGTAGTGTCACTTACCGCATCCTTCTCCTCCTGCATCCGCTGCTGCTTTGCCTGTCGGACCAGTTCAACCTGAATCTCCTGGGCAATCTCATTGTCACTGCGCTCACTAGGTGTGTGTGTGTGTGTGTGTGTGTGTGTGTGTGTGTGTGTGTGTGTGTGTGTGTGAGACAAATAAGATGAGAAAACACCATTAGAAGAAGCGGATACACAACAAAAAACTCAACTGCCCCAAAACCTGCACCCTGCCCAAGGTTCTGCTTAACTCAAATCAGATATCTCAGAACGTGGCTTTATGAGAACAATGTTCAATCCAATGGATGAGACAAGACCTGTGCACCGGTGTTCCTGCTTCTCCTTCCATAATAATGCTTATATATTTTGTCCTAAAATGTATTTTTTTTTTGCATATTCCAACTCCCCGTCATTATCAACAGCAACTAGGGTAAATGTTGTTCTCCTTGACGGCTCGGGGATTCGAACCAGCGACCTTTCGGTTACTGGCCCAACGCTCTAACCGCTAGGCTACCTGCCGCCCTCTAACATCTACACAAACTCATGGGTAGTATATACAGTATACAGTATGCTGTGATACAATGGTCTCTGCATTTCCAGCCAAACAACCCCGTTTCACAGCGCTGATGGCAATGACAAGGCTATCACTGAACACAAGTGCTACCGTTGACTAATCAAGTGCTTTGACCGATAGCATCTCTCTCTCTGGCCCAGGTAGGCGTTCATATCTTAGAAAGCCTCAACACATTTCAGAACTGATAATGATGATAGTCAGCCTGCCATGCTAGAAGATGTCTGAATGGCCCCGCTAGAGAACGCAGCTAGAACCTGTCTGTGTTGCAGGGGGCGTATTCATTAGGGTACACCGTTGCAAAACTTTTTTGCAAAGGAAAACAAAAACATACATTTCCTATTGGACGAGTAGATCACCGTTCAGTTGTCCGTCCCATGATACGACCCAGATTTAGCCAGTGTAATAAAGTTTTAATGCTTTCTCAGGGTAGTGTGTCTCCCCTATGCTTTCCACGTAAGATGACGACTAAACAGTCCTGAGATGATGATTGAAATAAAGCCAGTGGACTGGCCGAAGTTCAATTACGACCGATTAGCTTTTATTTATGCTTTATATTCAGGGTAGGAGTGTTGATCCAGGATAGGGGTATTTCAATCTTACCCTACGAGGTCGGCCGTACTGCTGTTCCACTTGATAATGAATTGGCAACGACCTTTAAAATCGAATCCTGAAAGAGGTTATTAATGAAAATAAACAGTGGAAACGGGCTCGAAGCAAGCTTTGAATTTGAGGGATCAAGGATGGTGTCTTTTAAATCATAGTGAATATGATTATATGGACAGGGGGAACCCTGATCCTAGACCTGCACTCCTACTCGAAGATGGCTCTGGTGTATTCTAAAAGGGATGGGCGGCTGAGGTGCCAGGAAGGCTATAACGGATCAGAGATTAGTCAGATGGGTCGTCTCTGGCTGCCGATCTGTCACGAATATAGCCTCAGCTCCAGTGACCTGGGTGTGTTGTTTGATTAGCCTGTTTTTTCATCAATAACTAGGGTACGGGTAGGGCTCGGGTATGACTAAAATGTTGAAGCTGAGCCATTTGCTGTGCAGTACAGTGATATCTGACTAAGATCATAACATGGTTTCAGAAGTGCTTCAACCTCATCAGATATAAAACTGGAGAGATTATTTCAAAACAATTATAATGTTCCTTGAGTTTTGGTCGGAGTTGGGAAACTCCATTGGAATCGTATTAACGGCCATTGTGTACGTTGCCCATGCTACGTCAATGGGCCACGCGGTACATTCTGGGCGAAGGAGAGCTCTCCTTCAAGGAGTGAATGGGAGTAATTTGGGCGCTAGCTCAAAAACCCAACATTAGCATGAATTTCGTCAACAAGAAGTACAACATGACCAATCTTTTCAAAGATAATTAACATGCCATCTGTAATATTGTATAGCTTTGGAATCGTGACATAACGTACTTGAGAAAGATAGGCACGTTTCTTGACTCAGAGGTAAGAGAGAGCGGTAGAGAGAGAGAGCGGTAGAGAGCACAAGAGCGGTAGAGAGCGGTAGAGAGAGAGAGAACGAGAGCGGTAGAGAGAGAGAGAACGAGAGCGGTAGAGAGAGAGAACGAGAGCGGTAGAGAGAACGAGAGCGGTAGAGAGAACGAGAGCGGTAGAGAGAACGAGAGTGGTAGAGAGAGCGAGCGGTAGAGAGAATGATAGAGGTAGAGAGAGAACGAGAGCGGTGGAGAGAGAGAGAACGAGAGCGGTAGAGAGAGAGAACGAGAGCGGTAGAGAGAGAGAGAACGAGAGCGGTAGAGAGATAGAGAGGTAGAGAGAGAGAGAGAGCGGTAGAGAGAGAGAACGGTAGAGAGAACGAGAGCGGTAGAGAGAGAGAGAAAACGTGAGCGGTAGAGTATAATAGGGCTTGGCGATATGAACAAAATAGATCACTGTATTTTTCAAATGTTTATGTTTTTGAATAATATAATTTTTAAAATGTGCTTTATGAGTAGTGCGTGACCTTAGGGTGGCAACACATACCTTCTAAGTGATTTCAATGGGTCTCTCTCCATTCTGATTGTTTTATACTGTTCAATTAAACTTCAACCCAAAATAATTTTTCAGCATTTTCATCAATTTCTGCACTCATTTCAGATCATTTTCGCACTGCCCTGTAGGGCTGCAAGATATGTGCAAACAATCTAGGCCTTATTCTTTACCTAATTTTTTATTTTTTATTTAACCTTTATTTAACCAGGAAGGGCTCATTGCTAATGTGGCAATTGCAATTTGACTTGCGATTTAGATCACTTGGGGAAACTGTTGGAATCATGGAAATAGAATGATTATTATAATTCTTTAGTTAGAATATATTAGTGGGAACTATGAATACTGCGTTGTTTGACATGACAACGAATGAAAATTCCAGGGAGGAGTTACAGTGCATTCAGAAAGTATTCAGACCCCCCCTCTCTTTTTCCACTTTGTTACGTTACAGCCTTATTCTAAAATGGATGAAATATATATTTTTCCTCAATTTACACACAATACCCCATAATGACAAAACGAAAACAGTTTTTTTTTTTGCAAATGTATAAAAAATAAACAGAAATATCATATTTACATAAGTATTCAGACCCTTTGCTATGAGACTCGAAATTGAGATCAGGTGCATCCTGTTTCCATTGATCATCCTTGAGATGTTTATTCAACTTGATTGGAGTCCACCTGTGGTACATTCAATTGATTGGCATGATTTGGAAAGGCACACACCTGTCTATTTAAGGACCCACAGTTGACAGTGCATGTCAAAGCAAAAACCAAGCCATGAGGTCGAAGGAATTGTCCGTAGAGCTCCGAGACAGGATTGTGTCGAGGCACAGATCTGGGGAAGGGTACCAAAAAATGTCTGCAGCATTGAAGGTCCCCAATAACACAGTGGCCGCCATCATTCTTAAATGGAAGAAGTTTGGAACCACCAAGACTCTTCTTAGAGCTTGCCGCCCGGCCAAACTGAGCAATCGGGGTAGAAAGGCCTTGGTCAGGGAGGTGACCAAGGACCCGATGGTCACTCTGACAGAGCTCCAGAGTTCCTCTGTGGAGATGGGAGAACCTTCCAGAAGGACAACCATCTCTGCAGCACTCCCCCAATCAGGCCTTCATGGTAGAGTGGCCAGACGGAAGCCACTGCTCAGTAAAAGGCACGACAGCCCGCTTGGAGTTTGCCAAAAGGCACCAAAAGGACTCTCAGACCATGAGAAACAAGATTCGCTGGTCTGATGAAACCAAGATTGAACTCTTTCGCCTGAATACAAAGCGTCACATCTGGAGGAAACCAGGCTCCGCTCATCATCTGGCCAACACCATCCCTAACGGTAAAGCATGGCTGTGGCAGTATCATGCTGTGGGGATGTGTTTCAGCAGCAGGGACTGGGAGACAAAGTAGAGAGAGATCCTTGATGACACCAAGTCCCTTGGCTCTGTCATATCCTCACATGGTCTCTCCTATCATTGCTACGCAGACAACACACAATTAATCTTCTCCTTTCCCCCTTCTGATAACCAGGTGGCGAATCGCATCTCTGGCAGACATATCAGTGTGGATGAATGATCAACACCTCAAGCTGAACCTCGGCAAGACGGAGCTGCTCTTCCTCCCGGGGAAGGATTGCCCGCTCCATGATCTCGCCATCACGGTTGACAACTCCGTTGTGTCCTCCTCCCAGAGTGCAAAGAACCTTGGCGTGACCCTGGACAACACCCTGTCGTTCTCCGCTAACATCAAAGCGGTGACCCGATCCTGTAGGTTCATGCTCTACAACATTCACAGAGTACGACCCTACCTTACACATGAAGCGGCACAGGTCCTAATCCAGGCACTTGTCATCTCCCGTCTAGATTACTGCAACTCGCTGTTGGCTGGGCTCCCTGCCTGTGCCATTAAACCCCTACAACTCATCCAGAACGCTGCAGCCCGTCTGGTGTTCAACCTTCCCAAGTTCTCACACATCACCCCGCTCCTCCGCACACTCCACTGGCTTCCAATTGAAGCCTGCATCTGCTACAAGACCATGGTGCTTGCCTACGGAGCTGTGAGGGGAACGGCACCTCCTTACCTTCAGGCTCTGATCAGTCCCTACACCCAAACGAGGGCATTGCGTTCATCCACCTCTGGCCTGCTGGCCCCCCTACCTCTGCGGAAGCACAGTTCCCGCTCAGCCCAGTCAAAACTGTTCGCTGCTCTGGCACCCCAATGGTGGAACAAGCTCCCTCACGACGCCAGGACAGCGGAGTCACTCACCATCTTCCGGAGACACTTGAAACCCCACCTCTTTAAGGAATACCTGGGATAGGATAAAAGTAATCCTTCTACCCTCCCCCTACCATTTTTTTAAAAATATATATATAGTAATGTGGTTGTCCCACTGGCTATCATAAGGTGAATGCACCAATTTGTAAGTCGCTCTGGATAAGAGCGTCTGCTAAATGACAAATGTAAAACCTGTTCTAGAGTGCTCAGAACCTCAGACTGGGGCGAAGGTTCAACATCCATCAGGACAACAACCATAAGCACACAGCCAAGACAACGCAGGAGTGGCTTCGGGACAAGTCTCTGAATGACCTTGAGTGGCCCAGCCAGAGCCCGGACTTTAACCCGATCGAACAGCTCTGAAGAGACCTGAAAATAGCTGTGCAGCGACGCTCCCCATCCAACCTGACAGAGCTTGAGAGGATCTGCAGAGAAGAAATGGGAGAAACTCCCCAAATACAGGTGTGCCAAGCTTGTAGCGTCATACCCAGAAGACTCGAGGCTGTAATCGCTGCCAAAAGGTTCTTCAACAAAAGTACTGAGTAAAGGGTCTGAATACTTATGTAAATGTGATATTTACTTTTTGTTTAGTTTTTTTAACGGTTTTTGCTTTGTCATTATGGGGTATTGTGTGTAGATTGTTGAGGGGAAAAAAACAATTTAATCAATTTTAGAATAAGGCTGTAACGTAATAAAATGTGGAAAAAGTCAAGGGGTCTGAATACTTTCCGAATGCACTGTATTGTGACAAGGTAGGAACCAAAGTGTTGGTCAGTGTTTCCTGATGCACAAACAACATGCTGATTTAGGCCTACACCATCACTGGTATCAGGCTGTATAGCTAGCTATGTTTGCTCTGACTCGGTACATTTATTAGCTAGCCAGCTAACTAGCGATTAGCGGCTAACACGGTTCAGTGACAACTTGCTAAGAAAAGACAAACTAGCTGTTTGCAGATGTAAGAATCACAAACTAATAGTGTTCTTATAGAACACTTCTGGATTTATATTAAGAAGCAAAGTGGAAACTGCATCGTTGTCATCAACATTATTACATGTGCTCCATTGACCATGCAGACTGAACTCAAGTGCCTTGTAGTCGAGCAACAACAAATGCCCTCGAGTGACAGGGGGCGGGGCTAGGTCTGTGTGGAAAGCGGCATGGAGAGAGAGATATGACTCAAGTAGCAGATCAATTATAAAAAATGGACATTACACACAGCCTATCACATTTAACAAATACCATTATAGAAGGTAAAGTAAAAATCCAAACCGGGGCATGCATCAATACCGGTATATAGTAAAATACGGTAAACCACCCAACCATAATGTAAAAAACAGTATGTGTGTGACTTAATGTACCTTAGACACTAGAGCAGGGTTGCCCAAACCTGTTCCTGGAGAGCCACCCTCCTGTAGGTTTTCACTCCAACCCCAGCAGTTGGTTTTCGCTCCAACCCTAATCTAGCACACCTGATTATAATAATTAGCAGGTTGATAAGATGAATCGGGTTACCTACAGGACGGTAGCTCTCCGGGTACAGGGTTGGGCAGTCCTGCTCTAGAGATAGCACAGGGTACGTCAGGGAGACTCACAATTTTAACACACCAGTTATGCTGTCTCTGACTTTAAGGTTAAGGTGTGAGTTAGATTGTGAGTCTCCATGAGGTACCCTGTGCTATCTCTAGAGCCTAAAGTAGCATACTGAATGTGTGTGTGTGTGTGTACTGGGAATATTTAAGATGAATAAAGTTCATATTCAGTTAAGAGTAATTCACACAATGCTTAGCATATTTATTTGTTTTCCCTTTCTGCAACACACATGATTTCCAGTGTTCTCTTTGTGACACTGATTTGTGAAGGGGTTGATGGTCACTACACTTGATACGGAATGTTATGGGTTGTTCTCATATCATTTGATAGTGATTGACAGAGTTAATGAAGGCACAAGGACACACTGATTATTATAGCATTGATGACATTATGAACACTGTGATTCTGTAGCAGCTGGCAAAGTCACCGTCCATTGTTTTGACTTCGTACAAGCCTCTCAGGCTGATGTTTAGAGAACATTTGGTACTGTATGATTAGACTATAAAGGGGATGTCTCCAAGAGGCCAGTGAGACATTTTCTATGCTTCTGTTCTGAAGGCGTCTCCTTAAATTCTTGTATTAAACGGGGTTTATCTTTGATTGATAATATCAACGACCGCTCTCCTTTTTGGTTCACCTGGAAATTCCCGTTACAGTGAGTGTCTGTTTATTCTCCCACATCCGACCAAATGTCTGCTGTGGTGCCATGGTCATAGTAATGTGTGGTGGAATGATGTGTATAATATTATCTCACTCACATGTCTCGGTGCTGTCTGTAGGCCTTGGCCTTGGCCCTCCGGTCCTCCTCTTCCTGCAGCTGCTTGGCCAACGCTACGTCCTGCTGCACCAGACGGCTCTTGTGGATGTTGGACGCCAAGTGGCTCTCAACTGCGGGGACAAACACGGCAACAAACACAGCACTCAGAATCAGTACACAACCAAGGCATGAATCTCTTCTTCACGCTCTCACAGGTCATCTGGCCAAACCACAACATTTACATTTTAGTCATTTAGCAGACGCTCTTATCCAGAGCGACTTACAGTTAGTGAGTGCATGCATTTTTCATACACAACGCTGAGGAACGAAATGGACAACACCATTGACAACCCCCAGTTTATTTGTTTTGGTGTCTTTTAAACCGCAGGTCACGGACGCAAGTACTTGAGCCGAGAGTGTGTTTATTTGGCATAGTTTGGACATTTTTACAAGAGGAGTAGCATGTTTAATGTAGGAGGAAAGAAAACACAGATGCTTCGTTACAGGGCCTGACTCATTGAGCTTGGTTATGACAAACTAGCCCACGTGATAAACTCAATGACGAGCTGCCATTCCAAGGCTGGCTCCATGTGATGAAACAGACCTGGACAGGGAAGGTTCTAAATCCTCGGTGCTGACGCACTCCCGGACCAAAATAGGTGGAGGAGCATCACTCAATCCCTTGCTACTCATTCAGCTCCACTGGACTGGTTATTGATCCACTGGTAGGTTCCAAGTGAAAAGGACCAAATTACACCACAATTTACTAGAGAGGCTCCATAAAGTTCCTACTCTGAGATTGCGAGACGACAACGAGGGGAAGCAGTAAATCAGAGTGATATGAAGGAAACCAATAGGCTGACATATCGATTTTAGGACGACGGTGATCGATTGTGTAGTGGGTTTTCGGTGCCACACAAAATTGAGGGCAAACATACGACATCAGAGAACAAAATATATTGTTACGTTCAACGCTAGATTTTTTTTCCGGGGGAAAACAAATTACTATTGTCTGTCGTCTTGTATTTCTAAGAACTCAGGATAAAGGTTTTGTGTTTACTCAACCTTGGCGTGGCCTCAGAAGTCTCTGTATAGACTAATTCTTCCAGTTCTCTGTGGCTGGCATCCAAGAGGGCCAGATGGCATTGGTCAATGCCACAGAATGCATGAGACAGTGATGCTGGACAATAAAGGGAAATCATTGAGGCATAACAAGGCCCTAGTTTATAGTCTAATGTGGTGGAAGTGTTTCCACTGCATTAATTTAGCGGTGGCCCTGCTCTAGTCAAGTCTCACCCCTCCCCTAGTCAAGAATAAAGCAGTGGCACAGCGCAGTTTCGAGAGGCCCCCTGCAAGTGTTTAACATGATTTTTGAATGACTACCTCATCTCTGTAGCCCACACATACAATTATCTGTAAGGTCCTTAGGTCCCACCCAACTACCTCACTAGCCGGTGCCCGCACATTGACTCTGCAACGTACCCCTCGTATATATAGATCCCTACTGTCACTTTATTTACTGTATATAAGCATCCCTAATGTCACTTATTTTACTTCTGCTCTTTTTTTATCAACAATTTGTTGTTGTTTGTCTTTATTCTTACGTTTTTTGTTTAAAATAAAGCACTGGTGGTTAGGGCTGTAAGTAAGCATTTTCACTGTACTGTATGCACCTGTTGTTATCGGCGCATGTGACCAATACCATTTGATTTGATTTGATTAGTCCAGCAGTGAATGTCAACTACAAAGACCAGGGAGGTTTTCCAATGCCTTGCAAAGAAGGGCACATATTGGAATCTGACATTTCACCATTAGGCCAATGATGACATTGAATGTTCCTGAGTCGCCTAGTTACAGTTTTGACTTGAAAATCTATGGCAAGACTTGAAAATGGCTGCCTAGCAATGATCAACAAACTTGACAGAGCCTGAAGAATTTAAAAAATAATAATGTGCAGATTTTGTACAATCCAGGTATGCACAGCTCTTAGACACTTACCCAGAAATAAATAATTAACAAAATAAAATAATAATAATAATAAGGGAAGAATGTCCTTTAAAAAGTTATCAGAGCTGACCTTTTCACAGTCGTTCTACAGAAAATGTCTCACCGGGATCATCCACCCGGACCCAAACTGATGGTGCATGGATACGGAATCCTTGGGACGTCCCTACCCTAAAACATAACCTTAACCCCTACCCTAACCATATTTCATTTCAATTTCAATGGGGTTGCCTTTTCTATGCAAATGTTGTTGATCAGTGTAAGTCCCAAATGCTAGGGGAACAGATAGTTTTTCATCTGTAGCCCCATGAAATTAGCCAAACAAGCTATACTGAACAAAAATATAAAACGCAACATGTAAGGTATTGGTCCCATGTTTCATGAGCTCAAATAAAAGATCCCAGAAATTGTCCATACGCACAAAAAGCTTATTTCTCTCAAATTGTGCACAAATTTGTTTACATCCCTGTTAGTGAGCATTTCTCCTTTGCCAAGATAATCCATCCACCTGACAGGTGTGGCATATCAAGAAGCTGATTAAACAGCATGATCATTACACACGTGCACCTCGTGCTGGGGACAATGAAAGGCCACTCTAAAATGTGTAGTTTTGTCACAGAACACAATGCCACAGACGTCTCAAGTTTTGAGGGAGCGTGCAATTGGCATGCTGACTGCAGGAATCTCCACCAGATCTGTTGCCAGAGAATTTCATTTTCATTTCTCTACCATAAGCAGCCTCCAACGTCATTTTAGAGAATTTGGCAGTACGTCCAACCAGCCTCACTACTGCAGACCACATGTAACCACGCCAGCCCAGGACCTCCACATCCAGCTTCTTCACCTGCGGGATCGTCTGAGACCAGCCACCCAAACAGCTTATGAAACTGAGGAGTATTTCCATCTGTAATAAAGCCCTTTTGTGGGGAAAAACTCATTCAGATTGGCTGGGCCTGGCTCCCCAGTGGGTGGGCCTATGCCCTCCTAAGCCCACCCATGGCTGTGCCCCTGCCCAGTCATGTGAAATCCACAGATTAGGGCCTAAAGAATTGATATCAACTGACTGATTTCCTTATATGAACTGTAACTCAGTAAAATCGTAAAAAATTGTTGCATGTTGCGTTTATATTTTAGTTTAGTATAAATAACTCAATGCATGCACACACTCCTACTGAATATGCATTAACCTATATTGTGAATAGGTCTAGGCTACATCTTGACTTATCAAGTTTATCAATAGAGATTTACCATTCAAATAAATGATTACCATTATGTAGATAGTTTAAAAAAAAAAGTCAAATTGATTGGAAAAAAAGGTTGATTTCGGTTGGTTTCTGGTTTAGCAGGTAGAACGGTACACTGACACAATGCCAATGGCAACGCATACAGTGTAGCTGACTTGTTAGACCTTAAAATCTCCCCAGAATATCTGGCCATCTGGGGGATAATGTTTATTTGTGCAACTAAGAGGAAGGCCTTGTTATGTCTGGCCTCAGAAGCATGGGCTTTCATCTATTCTGGGTAGTGACCTTTTGACCTCAGCAGCTAAGGAATACTGGGAGGCAGCCAATTATAGTGCAACAACACACACACAGGCGGACACAAAGAAATTACATGGCAAAGATGACATTCATCTAAAAATACTCAAACTAAGCTGGCCGATACATCAAATTCATTTGATTAATTCAAAATGTAGACTACCGTTCAAAAGTTTGGGGTCACTTAGAAATGTCTTTTTTTTCGAAAGAAAAGCATTTGTTGTCCATTAAAATAACATAAAAATACAGTGTAGACATTGTTAATGTTGTAAATGACTATTGTAGCTGGAAACGGCTGATTTTTAATGGAATATCTATATACAGTGGGGGAAAAAAAGTATTTAGTCAGCCACCAATTGTGCAAGTTCTCCCACTTAAAAAGATGAGAGAGGCCTGTAATTTTCATCATAGCTACACGTCAACTATGACAGACAAAATGATTTTAAAAAATCCAGAAAATCACATTGTAGGATTTTTAATGAATTTATTTGCAAATTATGGTGGAAAATAAGTATTTGGTCACGTACAAACAAGCAAAGATTTCTGGCTCTCACAGACATGTAACTTCTTCTTTAAGAGGCTCCTCTGTCCTCCACTCGTTACCTGTATTAATGGCACCTGTTTGATCTTGTTATCAGTATAAAAGACACCTGTCCACAACCTCAAACAGTCACACTCCAAACTCCACTATGGCCAAGACCAAAGAGCTGTCAAAGGACACCAGAAACAAAATTGTAGACCTGCACCAGGCTGGGAAGACTGAATCTGCAATAGGTAAGCAGCTTGGTTTGAAGAAATCAACTGTGGGAGCAATTATTAGGAAATGGAAGACATACAAGACCACTGATAATCTCCCTCGATCTGGGGCTCCACGCAAGATCTCACCCCGTGGGGTCAAAATGATCACAAGAACGGTGAGCAAAAATCCCAGAACCACACGGGGGGACCTAGTGAATGACCTGCAGAGAGCTGGGACCAAAGTAACAAAGCCTACCATCAGTAACACACTATGCCGCCAGGGACTCAAATCCTGCAGTGCCAGACGTGTCCCCCTGCTTAAGCCAGTACATGTCCAGGCCTGTCTGAAGTTTGCTAGAATGCATTTGGATGATCCAGAAGAGGATTGGGAGAATGTCATATGGTCAGATGAAACCAAAATATAACTTTTTGGTAAAAACTCAACTCGTCGTGTTTGGAGGACAAAGAATGCTGAGTTGCATCCAAAGAACACCATACCTACTGTGAAGCATGGGGGTGGAAACATCATGCTTTGGGGCTGTTTTTCTGCAAAGGGACCAGGACGACTGATCCGTGTAAAGGAAAGAATGAATGGGGCCATGTATCGTGAGATTTTGAGTGAAAACCTCCTTCCATCAGCAAGGGCATTGAAGATGAAACGTGGCTGGGTCTTTCAGCATGACAATGATCCCAAACACACCGCCCGGGCAACGAAGGAGTGGCTTCGTAAGAAGCATTTCAAGGTCCTGGAGTGGCCTAGCCAGTCTCCAGATCTCAACCCCATAGAAAATCTTTGGAGGGAGTTGAAAGTCCGTGTTGCCCAGCGACAGCCCCAAAACATCACTGCTCTAGAGGAGATCTGCATGGAGGAATGGGCCAAAATACCAGCAACAGTGTGTGAAAACCTTGTGAAGACTTACAGAAAACGTTTGACCTGTGTCATTGCCAACAAAGGGTATAACACAAAGTATTGAGAAACTTTTGTTATTGACCAAATACTTATTTTCCACCATAATTTGCAAATAAATTCAGTAAAAATCCTACAATGTGATTTTCTAGAATTTGTTTTCTCATTTTGTCGGTCATAGTTGACGTGTACCTATGATGAAAATTACAGGCCTCTCATCTTTTTAAGTGGGAGAACTTGCACAATTGGTGTCTGACTAAATACTTTTTTCCCCCACTGTAGGCGTACAGAGACCCATTATCAGCAACCATCAGTCCTGTGTTCTAATGGCACGTTGTGTTTGCTAATCCAAGTTTATCATTTTAAAAGGCTAATTGATCATTAGAAAACCCTTTTGCAATTATGTTAGCACAGCTGAAAACTGTTGTGCTGATTAAAGAAGCAATAAAACTGGCCTTCTTGAGACTAGTTGAGTATCTGGAGCATCAGCAATTGTGGGTTCGATTACAGACTCAAAATGGCCAGAAACAAAGAACTTTCTTCTGAAACTCGTCAGTCTATTCTTGTTCTGAGAAATGAAGCCTATTCCATGCGAGAAATTGCCAGGAAACTGAAGATCTCGTACAACGCTGTGTACTACTCCCTTCACAGAACAGCACAAACTGGCTCTAACCAGAATAGAAAGAGGAGTGGGAGGCCCCGGTGCAAAACTGAGCAAGAGGACAAATACATTTGTGTCTAGCTTGGAATAGCCTTCATTTCTCAGAATAAGAATAGACTGACGAGTTTCAGAAGAAAGTTCTTTGTTTCTGGCCATTTCGAGCCTGTAATCGAACCCACAATTGCTGATGCTCCAGATACTCAACTAGTCTCAAGAAGGCCAGTTTTATTGCTTCTTTAATCAGCACAACAGTTTTCAGCTGTGCTAACATAATTGCAAAAGGGTTTTCTAATGATCAATTAGCCTTTTAAAATGATAAACTTGGATTAGCAAACACAACGTGCCATTGGAACACAGGACTGATGGTTGCTGATAATGGGCCTCTGTACGCCTATGTAGATATTCCATTAAAAATCAGCCGTTTCCAGCTACAATAGCCATTTACAACATTAACAATGTCCACACTGTATTTCTGATCAATTTGATGTTATTTTAAAAATGGACCAAAAAATTGAAAAGGACATTTCTAAGTGACCCCAAACTTTTGAACGGTAGTGTATGTTTTTGCGCAATATTCCAAATGTCTGTCCCAACGTTCTGTTATTTTTCGTTTTTATGAGAGTTTATGTCCGCTTGTTCTCATGTTGTATTTTTGGTCTGGCCTCCTTCGTGTCTCTGTGCACCTTCCCATTTACACCAGAGATCTGTATATAATGATGAGATGCATGTCTCTGCCCTAACAATGGGAGTCGTTGTCCCAAAGGCGGGAAGGCAAGCGACAAGCTTAGGTCCAAAATAAGCCCATAGAAACACCTTGGCCTTATTTTGGACAGACTTTAGCTTCACTCTTGCTTTACCACTTCCTCTATGATTTACACACAACCAAGCCCTCCCCCTGCCTCTCACGCCAACAAGGTTGAGCGATCACATCTTCCTCTCTGACAAGCGGTTTCAACTTGCTATTTGCATTTGAGGTTTGGTCCAACATAATCGTTCATATGGACACCAACACACATTGAGACATTATTTTACTGTAATAGAGGAGTTAACTTTTCTAACGATACCCTTTTTAGGTCTCAACTACTCAAATTGCGCACAGAGCAGACACTACTAAAACGAGTATCAATTTACATTGATTCTGGCAAATTAATGCTCAGTGAGTCATGCAAGGCATTAGCGTACCACTAGCGGCATTTTAGCCAAAGACTTATACTAGCTGTCTAGTCTGTGTTTTATAAATGTGCAATAAGCATAATTATCATAACACAATTATATACGGAATTGGCAACTCATTCTCATTCTGAGAAATAAGGTAGGCCACTTGATTTCAACATCTGAACAAAGTGGACAGGCTAACATGCTTTTCAAACAATTGAAGAAAAGCAGAATGGTGTTTTCATAACAATTCAACTGTTCAACTCTGTTAGCTAGTAAATATATCCAAGTTGGCTAAACTTGAAATATAAAGATTAGCTGGCTAATCACTAGCACATGGGCTTGAGAGATTGTTGATGAGACCTGTGTTAATTTTCTATAGCCTAATGCCTGCTACAAGAAGTTAGTCATTATTAGTGATTATGCATGGATCTAGTTAAGTTTGTAACTAAAAAGGGCATTTTCATTGACAGACTTGAAAGCCAGATCAGGGATTATTGCAAGAAATAAAGCAGGTTAAAACTATTTTGACAAAACAATTGTGGGTCTTATGGTTTAAAGAAAACATGTATTATTATATTTTTGTTGATACGCAATATATATATTGTACGTTTGAAAAAATAAATAAAAGAATCACTATATGATTTTTAGGCCATATCGCCCAGCCCTAACTCAAACACTCAGACAATAATTCATGCAGGGATACAAACACCACAGACATACACACAGGTTTCTCAAGGAAAATCATAGAATCTCTAACATTTCCCTGATGACATCACCAATCCCTGCTAAACTGATTGTGCTGGCCTAACATCCACCCAGACTTGACCAGTCTGACAGAGAGAGACCAGACAGGACTGGTTTGTTGTCCTACTGCAGACGGGCATTAATAACATGATCCAGACACAGTGGGCAAATGCCCAGCCCGCTAACACCCACCACAGAACGAGTGTGCCATTGTTGTGGCTGCAGCCTAGCAGCTGTGTTTTACAGCTGCTTTACTGCCTGCTACCACTGACGTTGAGATTTAGGGTGTCAGACATGACCGATATTCAGGGGAGAAAACGAGAGCATTGGTGTGTGTGGAACATTTGAATAGTCTGTATTCCCGTAAAGATAGCTAAATAGGTGCTTGGAATACTTGATATTAAATAGCCATATGCTGCAAAGGAAGCTCAATGTGCTTCTTCTAGACTGGAGGAGCAGCTTGCCTAAAATAGTTAGTGTTAATCTAGATAATGAGACTTCGATGGAGGGGGTTTACTGGGCATGAAGCTGACTGTCTGCATCCAGATTGAAAGGAAAATAAAGACCTAAATTCATTGGAACAGATCCCAGCCCAAAGTACTCAGCCTTTTCCAAAATAATTCAACGTAAGGTTTGTCGTCTTTTGACCTGGGAGCGATGCTTTGGGAACAGCCAAGACCACCTGAAACCATTAGGGATGGGAGAGTAAAGCGGACTCCAGGTCATCCTCAGGTGTGGTGGTATACTTACTTTCCTGCTCCTGGAGGTTATGGGCCAGGCAGTGGTCCTCCAGCACAGCAAAGTCCCGAACAACTGTAGACAGAGACAGGAGGTTAGGATATCATTCTGAAGGTTATCTGTCAACTGTAAAATGAAAATAGGCAATACTACTCCACACTTCGGAAGTTACAGTTGAAGTCAGAAGTTTACATACACCTTAGCCAAATACATTTAAACTCCGTTTTTCACAATTCCTGACACTTAATCCTAGTAAAAATTCCCTGTCTTAGGTCAGTTAGGATCACCACTTTATTTTAAGAATGTGAAATGTCAGAATAATAGTAGAGAGAATTATTTAATTCAGCTTTTATTTCTTTCATCACATTCCCAGTGGGTCAGAAGTTTACATAAACTCAATTAGTATTTGGTAGTATTGCCTTTAAATTGTTTAACTTGGGTCAAACGTTTTGGGTAGCCTTCCACAAGCTTCCCACAATAAGTTGGGTGAATCTTGGCCCATTCCTCCTGACAGAGCTGGTGTAACTGAGTCAGGTTTGTAGGCCTCCTTGCTTGCACACGCTTTTTCAGTTCTGCCCACACATTTTCTATAGGATTGAGGTCAGGGCTTTGTGATGGCCACTCCAATACCTTGACTTTGTTGTCCTTAAGCCATTTTGCCACAACTTTGGAAGTATGCTTGGGGTCATTGTCCATTTGGAAGACCCATTTGGCAGAATTATTACAGAAAATTACAGAAAATGATGTCATGGCTTTAGAAGCTTCTGATAGGCAAATTGACATCATTTGACTCAATACTTATGTCATGCAATAAAATGCAAATTAATTACTTAAAAATCATACAATGTGATTTTCTGGATTTTTGTTTTAGATTCCGTCTCTCACAGTTGAAGTGTACCTATGATAAGAATTACAGACCTCTACATGCTTTGTAAGTAGGAAAACCTGCAAAATCAGCAGTGTATCAAATACTTGTTCTCTCCACTGTATATATAGATACACACATTTATTTATTTTTTTGCTCCTGAACTACTTCTACTCTCAACCTCTCCGATCATTTTCATGATGTCCATCCGGTTTGCTTCTATATGCCATATCTTTCTAACTGTGCTCTTTCCCAAAAGCTCCCAACATACAACCTATATACTTATTATGTACACAGTATGCTTACATTATTAGCTATCTTTGTTATTATTTGTTGTTATTTGTTAGTCCCATCCTTCAACTCTATTCAATACCTCCCATCTATCTCTTAACACAATCCATATAGGATTTCTATTTGCCATATATATTTCAACCGTACTGTGATGTTTTACAAAAGTTCTGAACCTTTCTATTCTCATTGCTTCTACAGATTGTGAATTAAAAATAAACATTTTTGCTAAAAGTATTATTATATTATTGATTGATTGACTATGACTTTTCAGATCACCCAGTAATGCAATCTGCAAGGTTAGCTCCAGGTAAATATTGCAATCCTTTAGCCATTCCTGGACCTGTGTCCAAAAACAAGCTACAAACGGACAGAACCAAAACATATGATCTAATGATTCTGTCTCTTCGCAGCAAAATCTGCAGAGCTGGGAAGATTGTATGCCCCATATAAATAACATTCTATTGGTGCAAAAAAAAAAATTTAATATCGGTGTCGTTTTGCGT